CGGTGCTGCCACGTGGGAACGGAGCTGCCGAGTCCTCATTTTCCCTTTGGGCTGCCCCGACAGGAGCTGCAGCTGTCCCGGGGAGATTTGGTGCTCGGATTTGCTGCAAAAAGGTGTTTTCCCGCTGTGGAGAAGTCAGTCTTGGCCACGAGCTGCCGTTGGGATTGGTGGGACAGGGACATGGAAAGGTGACACTGTGTGGCAGGATTGCCGGGGCTTCGGCACGCTGCTGGTCCAGCTGTTGTTTCAGGGATGCTTTTAAGCTCCGTGGCAGAGAGTTTGCAGGAATAAAGGCAAAATGCTTGCAGGTACCTTCTGCAAAGCATGAAGCACGTGCTGCTTCTATATATTATTTTAATTTGCTAGCAGCAGGAGCCGGTCTCCTGCACCAGCTGGTTTTCAGGATGTGGGACTTTGGGCTCTCTTTTGGGTTAGAGCTGGGGGAGCAGAGCAAGGAAATGCTTATTCCCGCTGGGAAAACAGACCTGTCTCTGCCCACATGAGGTTTCCAAGGGCCAGGTCTTGCCTTGCTGCATCAACCCTTTCCCTTGGCTCCTGCTGCACGTAGGTCGTGTGGGCCAAAGCGGTCACTCCTCGTGACGCAGAAGCCTTGGCCGCTGCTGGCGTGGGCTTCTCGGCCGAGCGCTGAGGTTTGTGTGTGGCAAGAGGCTTTATGCAGAGATAAGGATGACCCTGAGGGGAATTGGACGGTCTCCCTATTCCAGTGCTCTCATCCCAATCCAGCCGGCGTTCTGCTTTGGGTTGCTCTGAGCCCAGCGAGGCTGCCTGGCCCCTCCTTGGCCTCGCGATGGATGGGGTGGATTAGGAGGCTTATCCTGACTTTCTCAGCACTGTACCCGCCGCCTGCATTGCTCTTCCACCCCGAGGAGCCCTTTGCATTTGTTTTGTCTGCGGTTTCTTGGGATGTGATGGGGAAAGTAGCGATGGACTGAGAGAGGACAGGAAGAACGGATAGTGTCGGAGTGAGATGCTCTCAGCTCTGCATTAGAGAGCTGCAGAGCAGKGCTCACCTGCACCACACAGGCAACAAAAAGAATTGATCCAAGGTTTTGTCCCAAGGCCTCAGTGGATGGTTTGCCCCCAAAATGTGCAGCCTCCCCTGTGGGCTTCGCCTGCTGCCAGCCGCTTTCCCCAAGTTCCTCTCTCCTGAGGTACCCTTGGCATGGATGTAATTGAAGGAACTTGGTAGGTAGATARCTGATGGGCTTGTTGGGTGAGTTGAGCATGAAAATGCTCGTGGCTTCAGGTAGGTGAATGGCAGAATTGGGTGCTGAAAAACAAGAGGGATTTTCGGCCGCGTTCTCGGTCTGCCCCGGCCGAGCTGCGCGGCGCGACGGACAGACCTGTTTTGACTCACGGATGCCGAGCTGAGTTTGCAACATCTGCGCTTAGGTAACATCTCAAATGTGTGAACTGTGCACGCTCGGCCTGGAGTCCCCGAGGAGCCATAAACACCGGGTGGGCGGCTGCCAAATTTGCAATCCCAGAAGGTAACATCGCTTGGAGCTGCGGGAGCAGCTGCCTGCCGCGTTCGCCGGCTGCAAATGCAGTTCTCAAGAACGTCCCTTCCTGACCCTGCAATCCAGGAGACACCTGGGTTGCTCTTTTGTTCCTGCCGTGTCCCCAGGCTGGCGCTTTCAACGCATCGAGGGCTGCCTTCTTTTCCACACTATCCTGTTTGCAAAGCAGGTGCCTGCTCCGGTTTGTGTCATTTGCAGAGATGAAATCACTCTTTCCCTGCCCAAATTAAATGGGAGGGAGGATGGCAGAAAGCTAATGCAGATGTATGCATTCTGAAGGATTGCACTGAAAGCAGAGACAGGCAATACGTGGTCTTTTTTTTTTTTCCACACAAATTTGTGGGAGCAGCTGGAAGTATTTGCAATTGCAGCATTTTGGAAAGAAAAAAGCATGGCTTTGGACTCTGCTTTGGCATCAAGTTGCATCAGGCAATTAAAAAGTCAGATGACTCTTCTCCCTTCCCAGAAAAAAAGAAATGGAAAATGGAAAGCGTTCCTCCTCTGTCCAGCTGCCCTGATCTGAAATAGCCCCGAGTTCCTTCTCTCGTCTACAAACTGTCATCTGCCAGTTGATCAACCCCAAATTGCCCTTTTCTTGGCTTTGCCTCCAGGCTGGGAACTCAAAGGGAAACGCACTGCCTGGGCGAGGGTGCTGGGGAGGAAYGGGATGCAGATGATAGCAGTTCTGCTTCTTTTCCCTCCGTTTCTTCCATACCCTGCTCTTTGCCTTTTTCCTCGCACCGTCTCCTTTGCTTTTTCCTTGCAATCCAGACGCTCAGGCTGGAATTGCTTCCAGACCGACGTCTCCTGGCCGCCCGCCAGCGTCTGCAAGGAGCGACGCAGCCCGCACTGGTCCCGCGGGACCGCTTGGACCTGTGAGCGCCTTGCGGGCTGCTCTCCCTCTCGGGATAGCCTGGATAGAGCTGGGATGGACTCGGCAGCTCTGGACAAGGCCTCTTGGATGGTGCTGGAGCGGCTGGTTCCCTTAGGGAAAATCCTGTTTGAGGGAGGGATGCAGAGGCAGCAGGACCCAGCACATCCCTGCAGAGGCTCCAACTGGATTACGTTGCTGTAGCTCCTGTAACGGCGGTCGCCTTGGAAGAGGGTTTTGCACAGGTCGTTGCAAGGCTGCACAGTTCTCCTCACACAGGCAGCACGTCGCAAAATGCCCGAATGCAAACACCGTCTGGCAGAGCTTTCAAGCATCCTAAATGCAGTCCGGTCTGTGCCCYGTGGGGGATTTTTGGAGAGGAGCCTGTCTGCAATTGCACATCTTTGCAACCCGAACAGCGAGTTGCAACCCGAAAGCAAAGCGCCAAATCGAACATTTTTGCAGCCCTCCGGGTTGTGCAGGTAACCTAGAAATACCCCCGGATGGAGCTGGGTGGTGAGGACTGCACTGTGTTATCTGACAGCGCGAGTCTTGCAGCCCCCCTTGCTGCTTCTCCGTATCGGAAATTCCCACTGTTTCCCTTGGTCTCCAGGTCGCTCTCCCACCCGGCYCTGGGCAGCTGCCGGCTCCGCTTGGTGCGGAGCAGAGGAGCTCCTGCCCGATTGATGATTAATCATCTCCAAATGCCGTCCCGCAGGAATGGAAAGACAACCGTGTTCTCTTTCTGCCTGGATTCAGTTCAAAGGCTTTGTTTAAAAATAGAGCTGCCCGTGCGTTTCCAGGCTGCCGTGGGGCCGGAGAGCTGGGCACGGGTCTCCAGAGCCCAGTGTCACCCGGGGCTTTCCGGAGAGTGGGATATCAGTGTTGATCCTTGGGCACTGGAAAGCGTCACCCTCCGTGGAGCAGTTTGCACAGTCAGTTTTAGCTCTCGCTCCTCAAGACTTTGATGTGCCCAAATATCAAGGGGGGAGAAGAACCCCCTCTTGGGCCGGTTCTGCTTTGTGCCAAAACCCATCGGGGCCGATGCAAAGGGAACGGTGCTTCCCAGCGCGTGGCTGGCACGTGGGACCTCTAGCCTGGGGATTTGATGCTCTGGAGCAGCAATGATTTTGGGGTGGTTTGAGGAAATCTCTGAAGTGTTTTATATTTGGGCGGGGAATTGGCATTAAGTCCGGAGAGGAGTGCGGTGCTGGAGCTGGGTGCTGGTGCAGCCTGTGCTAGCAGCTCCCACGTCAGCATCCTTTATGTGCTGATGATCTGTGCTTGAAACTATACCCTGGGAGTGGAAATCCTCCTGAGAAAATATCCTCTGCAGCCCTTCTGGGGCTTGGGTAAACACTATTTAAAATTAGAGGCTCTCGTTATGTTGGTATGTGCGTTTACCTTGACCCCTGCCCTTTCCGTCCGCATCCGCGCACGGCCTGGCACCGCCGGAGACTTGGGGAATATGTGAAGAGCAAGTTGGGAGCATGTTTGCTGCTTTTAGATGGAGGTAAAGAACTTGCTCCAGCCTCTCCAGGCTGGCAAGGAATCGGAATCAAAACTGCAGGCTGTCAAAGCCAAGCCTGGCTTTGATCAGCAGCATCGCGCTGGCCTCTCCTGGGCTGCTTCTGAGGGAGAGGGGGAGAGCAAGGATGGTTTAGCTCAGCTTATCTTGCAAATGAAATCTTTTGCTCTGCATCTTTGTCTCTCTCTCTTGCTATTTTCTTGCAAAATCCATGCAGCAATTTCTATTTTGCCACCTGAGATGCTGTCTCGACTGTCACGCGGGAATAGCTGCTACGCGCTGTCCCGCTATTGTAATGGAATAATATTTCTGCTATTTGTTGTGGTAATAGTTGTTAGTGACAAAGCAATTTGCATGTCACCTGCAGCACCAAGAAATATGACCTCTTTCTTGCCGTCACTCCCTTGGTGACCAAACAATGATYGGGATCTTCCATCTCTTTCTCCAGTGAGTGCCGTGCACTGTAGCCTCACTCGAGTGGTCCATACTCCCCTCCTGTCTCCCCTTCAGYCTGCAAAATGCTGGTGTTGCACTGCCCTGTATGCGTTGCATGGCATGCGTTGCATACATTGCATTGCACTGCGCCGCGTATGTTGCATTGCGTACATTGCATTGTGCTGCATACATTGCATTGTGTTGCATACGTTGCATTGCGTTGCATACATTGCGTACATTGCATTGCACTGCATCACATATGTTCCATTGCGTATATTGCATTGTGTTGCATACGTTGCATTGCATGCATTGCATTGCCATCCCTCAGCAGCACGTGGCCGATTTTGGCCCCGTGAACGTGTCCACACGGCTGCTTCACCCTGTTCTTTCAGCACAAGCATCTTTTCCTGCCGGGCATTGGGGAGGAGGGAGCGGGGCGATGCTGGGGGAGGCAGGAGTGGGCTGCAYCTCCGGAGCCGCAAGCCGGAATTGAATGATTTTAATTTGTCCCAAGAAAACACGTCCCCTCCCGGATGCCTTTTAGAAACCCGGTGCTTCAATGGCTCCTGCGCTGGCTCCCCCCCAGTTTCCTGTTTACGTCACTGCTATTTCGCTGCTGCAGTTTTTACAACTGTTGAGCTTTCAAGTGTAATCGGAGCTGAGAGCGGCAGCTGCCCATGAACCTCCGGCGTCTCCCCCRGCTCGCGAATCCGAGGGATCCGGCTCCGTGCGGAGCGGAGCCGCCGGCATCCCCGCGAGCGCCTCGGACCATGAGCGCTCGCCTGAACTGAGCTGAGGGGGTTTCGCCAGCAGCTCGGCGGCGGCTGCATTCGGCAAGGCTCCCTTTTGCGCCCTCCTCCTGCCTCCCTCGGCRGCGAGGCGTGCCCTTTCTCTTCTGCATTTCTGGGAAGCCATGGACAAGAAGCAAGGTATATGGTGCAATTTGCAAAACACATGGTGGGTGCGCGCGGATGGCTGGTTGTAATGCTAAAAGGGACCGTGTTTGTGGGGCGGATCGGGGCATGCCGTTTTCCTTCTCTTTTCTGGCAGGCTKGCATGGGAAGGGGGATCTGTGCTTGCAGCCGGGCATCTATTTTTAAAGTTCTGGAGACTTGCATATTTTGTGCATTGCTGAAAACCAGGCATCTTAATTGTAGAAGCCTATCGTGGCTAAAGGAAAATATTTGAAGGGTGAAGTTAGCTCGTGCCTCTGCTTTCGGCCGCATTCCTCAGTTGCAAGGCTTTGCAGGAGCTCTGGCGTGGTTGCTCTCTGCAAAAAAGCCTGTTGCGTTGGAAATGCAAGTGCCTGCCGTGGACTTGGCAGTCAGGAGCTCTGATTCAGCAGAGCTGACAGGTTGTTTTCAGCTCGCTCTGCTGCAGGCAACTGACTGCAAGGGGCTTTTTTCTGAAGCACCTTTTCCTCCTCTGAGGTCGCTCTTTTGCAGAAGTTGCAAGCCCGAGTTATTCACAAGAGCCCTGCTCTGCAAGGGAAGCTCAATGGGCTGATGAGTGATGGCTTTGGGCAGCTTGAGAGCCTTTTTTTCCACTTGCACGGGTAGCTTTTTCCACCCCTAACAGTGGAAAGAGTGTGGCATGTCGGCGAGGAGCTGACTCTCATGACCAGAGCAACCAAATTCACCTCTCTGCTTCGTTGTCAGGAAAGGCAAAGCTTGAATTTTATAGCCCTCAAACCTTTGGCTCTTGCTTTGCAGCAGGGATGGGAAGCGCTGTATTCCTGATATCCTCTGCCTCATCCATGACATTTGACTCTCCTTGGGTGGAAGAGAAGGGGAGAAGCCCCTGAAACACTCTCCCCAGCACAAACCGGGCTCTCCAGCTCCAGGAGCACCAAGAGCTGATTTATACCGCGGCCGCCCCCAGGACTTCACCTGGGGCTGGCACCGAGGAGGCAGCAGAGAGGTTTAATTTCAAAGGTCGGCTCAGGCAAATAGTTTTATTTACAGTTCTTTAGATTGCGCTGCCGTTCCTCTCCGCCCACGCTGAYGGAGGGCAACGATTAAGCTCGCGGGGAGCGGCGCAGCAGAGCGGGGCTTGGGCGAAGGCGCCGCGTTGGGCACTGAATGAAGCAGTTCCAGGAAACGTAAGCGCCCGCTCGTAGCCGGGGAAGGCTGCAGCATGAGAAAAAAAAATTAACTGCTAAGGGTGGTTTTTCTTTCTTTAGGAGGAAATGGTTCCTTTCTTAGCATAAAGGATGCAGCTACGTGTCCGCAGCGTCACGTCGGGGAGGCGCCCGTGCGGGGACGTCGGGCACCCCGTTTTCCCTGCGCTGGTGCACGGTGGCACGTGCTCCCGGCTGGCGTTGCCTGCCTCGTGGCCAGCACGTTTGCACGGCTCCTGCCCGGGTGCCGGCGTCAGCAGAGCTGAACTATCCATGGGAAAAACGTTGGGTTTCAGGCGCTGCTGCCAGCTGCCTCCGTGGCTCTCGGGGTGCCGGGATGTGTCCTGGGTCCCCCTGTTTGGTTACTTTTGCCATGCATGAAGGGGATCTGTAGATGCCACCAAGCAGAAGGTTTGGAAGCTCTTGGAAGTTCGGAAGCTGTCACCTCTCTTGCAGGCGCCCCGTGCCCTGGGAGAGTCCCCAGGTTTTTCAGGTGACACAAACCATTCTTCCAGTTCCTGCAGCTCTGAGCATCCCAACCTTAGGGGGATCGCAGCCATATGTGACAGACAATAACGGGGCTTCGCAGGTGATAAGGGACCAAGAGCAGCCACCTTTGGAGCTGGAAACAACTGCTGCAGCAGGGACTGCACGGATGGAATTGCAAGGTCTTGTCCTTGTCATCCCACTACGTTTTTATTTTTTGTTATTTTATTTTCCTTTTAAATCCTCCCTTCATCTCCCATCGCCCTGCAAGCCCTGGGAGGCTGCAGGGGCTGCCTGGGCGCACGCTGATCTCGTGGGGCCAAGTCTGGCAGCCGATAACACGCAGCGGGGCCGGGGAGCTGTGCAGCGGGGCTGATAACCGGGCTGGGCGGCAGCAAGGGGAAGCTGCGCTGTGCCCTGAGCTCATGCCCTGGGTATTCCCACCTGGAGCGCGCTCTGGGGAGCCAGGGAGTGTGCGGAGCTTTAGGGCAGGACTGCTGGTCTCTTGTTTTCCGGGTTGTGTCGGGGAGGAAGCGGCGCCCGCCCGCTCCACCTCCGCCTCTCTGGCTGCAAACAGCCGCCCAGGGCTGCGGTTGCTTCCTGAGAGATTGGGAGTGTGGCAGGAAATTCGGCTCGGCCAGCAGGATGCTGGAAACCTCGTGGAGCTGTGGCCCTGGCAAGTTCGGAGGCAGCAGGAACCAGCAAATTGATTTCCTGCTTTTCCCCACRGGGACAGCGTCCTGGGAGGGAAAATGTGTGATTTGCTCTCCTGCAAGCACGGGCTGAACTGGGTTTTCCATGAGCGCGAGTGGTCCAGCCGGAGCCTCGGAGCGGAGGGCAGAGAGTGCTGGTTTTATCAGGGCTTTTCCAGATGGGAGCCAGGAAATGTGTGATGGAGGTGGCGGCGGGTGGGACGAGGATGGCCGCTGACCTCAGCGCGGCAGCACGGGKTGGAGGGCACTGATTTGGGCAACGGGGAGCTCGCTGATGCCCRGGGCCCTTGCTAGGCTGTGCAAATGCCCGGGGGCCGAGCTGCGGGAATAGCTCTGGTTTTCCAGGTCTCCGGTTTTCCAGGTCTCTTTCCAGGGCCGGGAGGCGATGCCGGCTCGAGGGGTGCGCAGGCCCCGCTGGCGCCGCGTGAGTCACCGCGCCGGCCACCGCGGGCACACAAGGTGCTTTGTGCTCCCTGCTCCGGGTTGCCATGGCAATGGGGGAGACGGAGAGCAAACGGGAAGCAAAATACCAGTCGGATAAGGGGGCGTTTCGGGGCCTCACGGAAGGCCCTGGCTCGCGGCCACGTGTCCGGGAGCAGCCTTGCTCTGCGGGGCGGCAGGCGCGGGCGGACGAGCAGCCCGGATCTGCGGCTCCCCGTGGCGCCTGCACGGAGGAACGTGGGGAGGAAGCAGCCGCTTGGCCTCCCTGCGAGCCGATCCTGCGCGGATCCTGCAAATCGGCTCCTCCGTACGGAGCATCGGCATCCGCGCCGAGGCGGAGGGGGCTCGCCGTGCCCGGCTGCCTGTCCTGGCTGAGCTTTGGCTCGGGGGTCACTTGGCAGCATCCAGGGGGGACTCCAAGAAAAACTGCCAGTKGCATCTCGGAGCAGATCATGGGGGAGGTATCCTTGGCAAAAGGCTCCTGTTTGGGGTGAGCTTGCGTGCTCGGGGTGAGCTCGCTGGCTGCTCTGCAAGCACCAGGACTCGGGGACCCTGGTTGCCGGCTCTGTGACAGGTYCCCTGCATCCAGTACAGAGTGTCTGGATGCTGGATGGTGTTTTGTAAAGTCTCATCTGTGAGCGCTTGGGGTGATTTATAGCTCCCTCTCCTCGGCTCTGCTTGGATGAGGGATTGGGAGGGGAGACACTGCTGGCTCGTGAGCTGGAAACGGCGGCTGCCGTGACATGGTCCGGTCCCTGGAGACCTTTTCCTTCCAACTCTTGGTTGAGTTTGGAGCAGAGCATCTCGTTAGGTGAGAGTCACCATCTGCATGGCCAAGACAGAGAGACCTCCGGTGAAACAGGACAGTGCCTGAGTTGGGTTGGAAGCCCCATCCTGTGCTTCAGGGCCTCTGCCAACATCTGCAGCGTGTCCCAAGGGAAGGAGAGAGACCCCATAGCCACAGCTGGGCTTCCCAGAGCAGAGGCCTGGTGGGAATTGTGCGTGGAGGTGGATCTCCCTGCTCGAGGTGGTCTTGCCGGTGCCACATGGCTTCTCCAACGGGCTGCACCTCCCGTCCTGCCCGCTGAGAACCGGCTGCCTCCTCTCTCCCTCCCTTTCCCAGCCATGCTCGGAGTGCTGGACTTTGTCCATGTGGGTGTCCCCCAGAGCCAGGCCGGTAGGAGCCATTCCTTATTCCCCGGGAGCCTGTCCAAGGCCGTGCGGAGCCGGGAACTGCCCAGCTCCCAGCCGCTCGCTCGGAGATCACCCTGCACCTCTTGCTTCTAATGCACCTTCCAGGTCCAGGTGGCCTGGAGCACCTTTAGCTGCAAACCACAGCAGCCCCCGTGTCCCTGTTGGGAGGGCTTAAGTAGCAAGGCAGGGCTTTGGCTGTCTTGGATGCATCTCCTTGCAGCCTCCATGCAGAGCTCCCATCGGGGAAGATCCCACGCACTAAAGCTGGATTGCTCCCAATTCCCTCCTAGCAGAAAATGCACAGCCCACAGGAAACTTGAGGAGCTTGGCTAAAGTGCGATCATGGTTTCAGTGGCTGTCCCAGAGCAAGCTTTGAGGGCCACCACTGGAGCGCGGGTGTTCGTGATATCCACATTCCCTCAAGAACAACCGGCCTCGTGGATCCCAGTGCGGATGTGCAGCAGGACCTCCTTGCTGGTCCCCACAGGGTGCCAAGAGCCCCAGGGCTCCCACAGTTCTGCTGCATAGATGGGATGAGCTGTGTGTGACAGGGTGGCATGTCCCTCCCTGAGGGTGCCTGAGCATGCACGAGATGCTGGGAACCGTGGGATTCTCACTGCATTGGAAAATATGCCATCTCTTCCCAAGAAGGTCTGGATGGAAGCCTGGATCTTGTGGGAAAAGGAGGAGTTAGGGAAAGAGGAGCATTTTTGGGAACCTCATGTGTCGCTAATGGCATGGGGACCTCTTGTGGATGGACAAACTGGGATGGACCCAGTCTCCTGGGGCCTTGCTGCTTCCAAGCCCTGGCATTTTCTCCCCACAGAATGTGCAACCAGGACTATTTGTCTCGGACCATGTGTGGGGCTGTAAGGGATCTGATTTGTACCCAGCTTGTCTGGAACAGGAAGGCTAACCCGGTGTGTCTCTTCTATCTCTTTCAGATTCCAAGGGATCCTTGGAGCCACACAAACCAGGTTAGTGCCCAGCAAAAATGGCGCTTTTAATCCGTCTCGTAAACGTCGGCGATTAAAAATCTCCATAGATGGGGCAGAAGGCCAGGGTCATTGCTAGGGGAGGAGGGAGCCTGTGGAAGAGCAGTTGGATTGAGTTTGGATGGAGTTGGGCTGCAGCATCGTGGGGCCTGGCTAGCTGGTAGCTGTGGGCAAGAGGATGCTTGAAGGAAGAAAGAAGGGAAGAGGTTTGCAGCTCACATGTGCATCTTCTCTTCTAGCAAAGAGCAAGAAGAAACGGGAGCTGAGGATACCATGTTTCACCATCAAGCAGCCCGTTGCCAACACAACGTAAGTGTCTCCACTGCTTGAAACCAACCTGAGGTTCTCCAGAGCCTCTGGATTCAGAGTGGGCTGATGGGGAAATGCCTGGGTAGACTTTACAAAATCAGCATAGTTAGGGTATGTTCTTTTCCTTGAGTTATGGCTTGTGGCTGATGACGAGGAATTACACACTTGCACACGTGCACGCATGTATGTACCCTGGGAATGCCTCTCTGGGAGACATCTCTTTGCCTAAAATAGCCAAAGGGCAAAGGCCTTGCTGGGAGATTCCTTCTGCAGCTCTGCTGATGCCGAAGGACAAGGCTTGGTGAACTGGGACAGAAGAGGTGAACGTTTTCAGTGCATGGGAAGAGAAGAGATGGTGTCAGCTGCGTGGAGGCAGGTGTAGGGTTAGGAGGGTTGGCAAGAGGTCCTCTGTGGCATGTCACCCTCCCTGTGACCTGTGCGTCACTCTCAGCTCCCTGCCTTGGTGCAAGGACAACACAGAGCAGCTCGAGGTGCTCTGCCACATACTGCTTGTTGCCAAGGGCCAGTGCCCAGCTGTATCTCAGGGCATTGGAATTTGTCTGCCCTGTTTGTTTCACGCATCTGACGCTTGTTGTGCTGTGGAGGAGAATCAAGTTTAGCAGCATTCAGCTTGACAAAAAGCAGACAACTCAAATTCCTCCTCCATGTGATCCTCCAAAACACCTTGGGTTGTGCCCTGCTGCTGAGCCTTGTTTGCTCCAGAAACCTTCTCCTAGGACCATCCCTGCTGCAGGAGAGCAGTTAAAACCTAAAAGGGGATCACGCAGACAGGACAGATTCCCCAGGGGAAATATCCAGTGTATATCCAGGACTATCCAGTGTAGCCTGCATTCTCCAAGCTCTGCATGCCACCTCCTTCTCCCTGGGGCTGCATCTCTCTCTCTGCTCCTATCAGTGTTTGAATTTCCCCTGGAGAAAGGGTCACGCCTGAGTTTGCTGGGCGCTTRCATGCCCAGAGCAGTGCTGAGAAGGCTCGTGCTAGGCATGCACAATTTCTTTTCTCTGAACTTTCCAAGATGTAATGCAAATATTTGCACAGTGCAAGGCTTTCACTGTGAGACTGAATACTTCCTTAAAGCTGGGGGTTGCCTTATTGCTCTGATGGGAATTAGAAGGATGAACAAAATTGGGCAATTCCCGCTCTTTCAAATAGGCAGAGCAGAAAAAGCAAGGCACAAGAGACAAAAGCTAATGTCAGCTGTAGAAGCACCATGCCACAAGTAATATGAAGTGACCAGCAATGGGGCAAAAGCCATAGAGGAAGACTTTCACCTGTGTGGTGTCCTATGTGGAGTGTGACACTGTAAAATACTGGGTTCCTCTGCCTGCCAGGCTGTCCACAACAGGCCTTCAAGTGTACACAAATGATTCACGCTGGAGGAATTACCTGTTGTTCTCTGGGTGTGTATTCCAAGCTCCGTGGCTGTCCTGTTACAACACCTGCCTGTCAAAACATGACAGCCGAGCTGCTCTGCTGCAGAGACATCTCATCTGATCAGTCTTGGTCCCTTGGGCTCCTGGACAGAGATGGTTTCTTAGCCTGTTGATTTAGCCTGATCTAACTGCCTCTTTTGGGTTCTTGCTGGCCGTGTTCAGCAAATGCTTTGTGGGTGTGGACTGAGGTTTTRCTTGCACAATTAAAGCATTTGAGAGTGTTGGAAGGGGCTGATTTGAACGCCTAATGACAAGGCACCGCAGCAAGCTGTGGCTAAAAGCACCCGAAGGAACATGAAAACCTAGTTTTAGCTAAGAAGGTCAACAGAGGTGTGCTTTGTGCTGACTCTTTTCTCTTCTCTTGCAGACCCCCAAGGAATTTGGACTCCAGAACATTCATTACCATTGGAGATAAAGTATGTGCAGCACGGTTTCTTTTTGCTTGCTTCCAGTCTTGCTTGCCCCTTTTATGGCAGATTTCATGGGTGATACTCTCTTGTCAGCTTGTAAAATCAGATTTTGATATTTCAATGCAAACTTGAACAGCCGTGAGAAGGACTGTGCTGTCCTAGTGCACCTCAGGGAGAAGTCTTTGAAGGCATGAGATATCCCTCAGCAAGACCTTTTCCCTGTTGAACACTGGGCCTCTGTTCTAATGTTTAGAGCACTGACTACTTGGGACAGATCCTGAATGGCAGAGCTAAGCTGACTGGGAGGGAGCAATTCATAAACTGGTTCCTGAGTTTTGGGTGAAGTGGAAAACCCTATGAACACTTCTGCCAAGGAGATTATCCTGTTCCTTTTGTCAGGAAGGTGGAAATTCCCTGCAAGGGAGTCCTTGTCTGCCCTGCAGTAGGGCCCAGATTGCCAGAAGCCACAGTGRAGGTGGTGGCAGAGGGACTAGGTTTGCATTGCTTCGTTCTTGTTGGCGGCCCCAAGATCCAGCATCCAAGATCCAAGATCTGTGGCATGCTCAGAGCACTGTCAGGCATCACCACGGTGCTGGGGGATGTATTGCATCTATGCTTCCTTATATCAGTATCTTTAAGATGCACAGGTTGTCCAGAGAGACCTTGGGTCTCCTGAGCTGCTGCTGCCTGTGGTTCCTGGTGGTCGGGATTGCAGGTGAGGTGCAGGCTTTGGTGTCTGGGATGGAGGCGCAGGTGAGCACACAGGACTGTAGAGCACCCCAGCAGCAAGATGGGCTTGTCGGGGGACCCGAGCACTCTCTAGCTGCTCTCTCCTGCCTGCAGGCGGTCCCTGCAGGTGATGCCAGCAGGCAGGGCTAGGGACGCCTGGCCTARCGTGCAGGCAGTGAGCAATGTTGTCCTAGCGAGAGATCACAGAGCTGCCTGCACAGCCCTGCCCGTGACCTGGCTSCCAATGGAAAGATCCAGTCCATCCACACTAAATCAGCGTGACCTCGCTGTGCTGCCCGGCCGCCGCAAACAAAGTCCCTCTTGTCCTGCTGACCTGCGGGGCTGTTTTACTGCTGGTGTCCAAAGAGAAGCAGAGCACAAAGTTGCTTTCTGGCTCTCCAAAGCTATTCCTATTGGCCCGATGAAAAATGCTGCTAGAAATAGCCACCCCCTCTCTTTTGTTTCATTCTCTTGTTATGGGCTCTCCTGGGGCTGCAGAAGGCTGATTGCAAGTGAGCTAAAAATACCATCCATTGGATCAGCCCTATATCTAGCYGCTTACTTTGCAGGCTGGACAGGTGCTCAGCTGGTGGCCCCTTGTGCTGGAGAAGGTTTTGGGGCATGGGGAGATAGGAGGGAAGGAAGGGGAGGAGAGGAAAGCAATCGTGTTTGGTGCTCTGGGTATTAGTAACACGGACGGAGCTGCTCTGCAGCAGCCTGGGCAGCAGTGTGTGCAAAAAGAGAGTGCCAGAGCTTGGAGAAGTTCACTGTCCTTGTGGCCTTTGCTGTGTGATTTGTTATCCGAGTGTTTTCCCTGCAAGAGTTGCCCACCATTAAGAGTACACGATGTGACTGAGCCTTTAGTGCTGCTCGGTCGTGACATGGTAATATCAAGGAAAGTGTCTGTCTGGGAATATCCCTTCTTGGATAAACATCATCTGGGCTCTGCCTGCTCTGGGGGTTACCGGAGCTGCTTGATCCAGGTGCTTGGAGCAACACAGTGTGGGAATGGGCTTGGGCAGAGGCTGGCTTTGGGCCGTGGTGCCAGATGGTGACCTTGGGTCCCTTAAATCCTTGCAGGGGATGTCCTGCACCCCCRTTACCGGCTCAGCCACCCCGGGGCCGTGGGGTGAGCGATGCCGGGAGGGGACAGTGCTGGTCACGTCGGTGCGTGGCCTCTGTTGCTGGGCAGGGTTCCTGCAGTGTGCTGGGAATGGCCAGCTTCTGGGGAAGCCTTCGGGTAAATGCCAGGAAAAAAAAGAAAGAAAACACAATAACCTGGAACAATTGCAGAACATGTGTCCYGAAAAGCACCACCAGATCCTTCCCGGAGGCCCCTGTGGGAGCCAGAAGCCTGTGCTGCACCARTACCCGGGCCAGCACGCTGGGGGCTGCATGCATCCCTGCTAGCCGCACTCCGCTCCTTAACGCATCCCGCATCCTGCCCAGAAAGGGGCTGACACCTCCCGGCGCGAGGCAGCACATATCTTAGCGCTGAGCTCAAGCCCAGCCCTCTCCTGCTCCCGGCTCGGCCGCCCGCCAGCCACATCTGCTTTGGATAAATGGAGCTGGGGCTGGCTGGAATGTCCGGCGGAGCGGGTCCCTCCCGGCCGYGGCGCGTCCCGGTGCCCGGCGTGCAGCGGGAATGCTGGCCGGCAGCCACGGCGCCCCGCTCGGCTGCTCCGCCGTCTCCGCTCGGCTCCGGGTGTACCTTGGAGGTGTACCTCCACCCTTGGAGGTGGCCTTTCCAATGCTTTGCCCTCCAGGCTTTTCCCACCCTTGCTGCCCTGCTGGCTACGGGGTCGGTTTGGCATCCTGGTGTTATTTTTTGTTCCCTGAGACCAGAGGAAAAGCGGAGAGGCYGGGTGAAGTCCTGCCTGGCTAAAAGGAGGCCTGTAGCTTATTAAGAGCAATGAAGGCAGAGTCCAAAAATAGCCCTTGTCTCACTCGGGCAGCTCGTCCCTGCCCAGCAGAGCAGACGATTAGAGGCTAATGTGTGTTTAGGGAAACTTGTTGGGTTGCACAGAAACTTGCTCCTTGCTGCAGGGGGTTGTCTGGGCACAGGAGATATATATATATATATATATTTTTCTGCTTGAAACAAGGCTTACATAATTGCATTTGCCTTTGCTCCTTCCTCACTGCTTGCTCATGTTTTACCGTCCTGGCTGGTGGCAGGAGAAAGTGTGGAAGCAGGCAGGAATCATTAGAGCTCCCTGATATTACACAGCTCTGTGTTACTGTGTRCACCCAGCCATCTAAGAGAGGTTTTGCATAAGTGGAGATGTTATTAGGTGGCTGGGTATTATCTGATGATCACCTAGCACCCAGCAAGAGGAGGGCGAGGGAACACAGCTGGATGCAGGGACTGGGAGCGGGAAGCGGCCGAGGCTCTTCATGGTTACCCATGTTGGCATTGGAGCTGATGAAATCCTCCAAGTTGTTTCAGCAAGCACAGAAATGCCCTTGTGTCAGTAATGCCAACCAGGGGAGAGGCACCAAACTTTGGTGGCCCTGGTGAAATGGATAAAACTCCTCATCTCCRACTTCAGAGAGGGAATTGAATGAGCCCTGATGAGCAGTGCGAGAGGATTCAGGCTCTGATTCAGCARATACAGAACTACAACAACAAAAAATCCATCTTCTCTTCTATGTATGATGCTTCTCCTACATATAAGAGCTGCTGGGGTAGAGGTGCTCGTATTGAGCCTCTATCAATGCCTTTGGTGATAAGCAGGCACCTCTCTGAGTTTTGTCTCTGAGTTTTGTCTCTGAATTTTGTCTCTTTTCGTCCAGAACTTCGAGGTGGAGGCTGATGACCTGGTGACTATTTCGGAGCTGGGCCGTGGGGCCTACGGTGTGGTGGAGAAAGTCCGGCATGCCCAGAGTGGCACCATCATGGCCGTGAAGGTGAGGAACAGGGCTGGGCATGGGCACAGGCAGCTCCAAGGGGGCAGCGCTGGACTCTGCTGGTCACAGCGGAAYGGGGACATGGAGGTGAAGGGGTCTTGGCATTCTCCAATGTCCCTGCACAGCCTCACGCTGCTGTGAGGGTGCTGAGGTCGGCTGGACACTGCAGCTCTCGATAAGCAGGTGCTGAAATCCAGGCTTGGTGCCCACAGCCAGTTAGTTGGGATGTCAGAGTGCCCGCTGAGGCTGCTGGCTGGATCCCCCRTCTGTGGTGGGGTCTGCCAAGGTTTTTGTAATTCCTTAGGGTGCTGTCGGAAAGAGGAGGTCTGGGCATCTCCTCAGAGTGTCACTATCAGCAAGATCAGTGCAAAATGCTTGTCCTGGGCTCAGACTACACGTCCTTTTAGTCAGAGCGAGGCAGTCTCCCTCCTTAAATTATAGTATTATTTCACATATGTCCAAAAAAAATCTCTTTTTTCTTTCTCTTCCCCGTTTTTTTGTCCCAGAGGATTCGAGCGACAGTGAACACTCAGGAGCAGAAGAGGTTGTTGATGGACTTGGACATCTCCATGAGGACAGTCGACTGCTTCTACACTGTCACCTTTTAYGGAGCCCTCTTCCGAGAGGTACTGAGATAGTGTGAGAGCGTGTGCGCTACACAGCACCTTGTGTGTGTGATAGCTGAGCAGCTGTATCCATGTCTACCCAGTGCAGTGCCTGTGTGGCACCCTGTCCAGCGCAGTGGCTGCACAATGGGGACATCAGGTTGTCCTTGGGGACATCAGGTTGTCCTGTGTGGAAGGAGCAGTGTCTGTCCATGCTGATCCCTTCAGCTCCCAGGTTTCTGGTGAATCCTCTCTTCCCCCACCAATGACTTTGCTCTGTCTGCAGGGCGATGTGTGGATCTGCATGGAGCTCATGGACACCTCCTTAGATAAATTCTACAAGAAGGTGCTCGAGAAGAAGAAAACCATCCCTGAAGACATCTTGGGGAAGATGGCCGTGTCTGTGAGTACCTCTTGGGTTTATATGTCATTTAGTCTCTCCCCTGAGCATCATGATGATTCATAACACGCCTTGTGTGTAGCTTGATGCCATAAGGCTACATTTTGCTTTCAAATTGGGGATTGCTGCCTGCAGCTCTTCAGAGCCCTTCTGCAGGACACAGTATTTGGAAATGAGCAGTGTTTTTGCAGGGAAAGGTTGGTGCTGGGTGTGACTGACTCTTTTGCTCTTTTTGTCACCAGATTGTACGAGCGCTGGAGCATCTGCACAGTAAATTGTCTGTGATCCACAGAGGTATGTACTGGGTGAGGTTAGCATGGTGTGGCTGGAGTTCTAACCTTAAAATAGATTATGCAAAGGGTCYTTTCCACAAAATATATGGAGTGTGTGGATGTTCCCTTCTTGGGTCTGCTTGCATGATCTGTTCTTTTCCTCCTTTACAAAGGAAGGGTTGAACATTATGGCTGAATTCCCCACTGTCTGAATTATSGGCATCTCTGTCTCTCTGTCTGAGYAGAGAGATGAATTGAGGGTGGTTCTTGGGAACGAAATCCCCTAGCTTTCCTGTCTGGGTAGTTTTAGTCAGGTGCAGTCTAAAAGAGACTTTGCAAATCGAGGGTGGGAATCTTCATGGCCAGGTGTTGTTTCTTCTATACCTCTGGACAGATTGAGACAAGGGTTGTCCCAAGAACCCAGTGGAAGTTGAGCATTTAAGGCTGCCTTGGGCACAGAAATCTCTCCTAAGGAGTTGGGCATTAACTCCTCAGCATCTTATTTCTTATTTGACCTGCTTTGTTAGAGAGGAGGCCTCTTCTTCCCTGAGGGCCTGATTCTAGTTTTTTGGTGAACAGCCTTTGCTGAAGGAAAGGAATGGTGGGGCTTTGCCTTTTTCCTYGTTTAAGGCCCTCCTAGTCCTCTTGTTCAGCAGGAAATATTTTTCTGTATTAACTTTGTGGTACCTCAGCAAAAAACTTGATGTCTTCTCTCATGTTCTCTCCCTTAGATGTGAAACCTTCCAATGTGCTAATCAACAAGGAGGGGCATGTGAAAATGTGTGACTTTGGAATCAGCGGCTATTTGGTGGACTCTGTGGCGAAGACCATGGATGCTGGCTGCAAACCATACATGGCTGTAAGTGTATTTGTGTGGGATCTAGGCTGACATCCTTCAGCTGCCTTCAGCCTTGGCTTGAAGAGGCTGTCACATAGAAATCAGTCCTGATTCTTCCCAGTACTGAGAAAGAAACCACAGCAACGTGCTCTATGCATCCTGACTCAGCAGAGTCCTCTAAGGACGGGATTACACTCCCATTAAGCTCTGCTGTTTGCATTAATCCTATGGCAGACTCTTCCTTCATCACCTTCCATTTGCAGAAGGGTAAGGGACTGGCTAATGATTTGTGATGGCTGAAAAGTTGGCTAGAAGGTGCTGAGGCTCTTCTTGGTAGGCTCATTTTAAAGTTTGCTTCATCCTCTCAAATTGGTTTGAATTTCCCATTGCCATCCATGGCAGATCTCCCGGGGATCATGCCACATGCATTGTACAAGTCTTACTTGGGAGCTGGAGAAGAGTTCATGTGGGTTATGTGGAGCAAAATGTGGCCTTCATCGGTGCTTGCAGATATAACCCAAACCCTGCCCTCATGGGAAGCTCTGTGCCTGAATGTGAGCCAGGAGAATTCACTTGGGCTGGGTTTTGTAGCCAAAAGTTTMCTGTGTTTTACTCTGGGAAAGCAAGATAGAGCTGTAGTATCTTTCATTTTGCTGTTACAGCCGGAGAGGATAAACCCAGAGCTGAACCAGAAGGGCTACAACGTGAAGTCGGATGTCTGGAGTCTTGGGATCACAATGGTAATGTAGGAGRGCTGCAGCCGGCATTTCTTGGGGTGGGACAGGGTATTTTCAGGGGGGGCTCCAACYCTGCCATGCTCAGAAGCATCTAATGGCTTCACTTTGGGTGGTTATACACCAAAAGGGCCAAATTCGGAGTTTGTAACTTAGAGCATGAGCCAGATTACACAAGACAGTGCTGTGGTGGTGCTCTGTGCATCCAGCGATACCTCACCCCTGAAGCTGGGTTTGCTGTGGCCGGATCACAGCCTTCCTGTATGCACAAGCCTCCCACAGGAGCCAAGTTTCCCCGAAATATCAGGATGAGTTGGTCTCCCCTGCTCCGACTCAGGGTAGTGTGCGTGCTGCTTGTAGGTGCCTGACAGCAGCCACCAGGAAGGGGAAATACTTTCAGTTCCAAAATTGCAGCTGCTCAGGACAATTTATCTGCCTCCTGCGAGAAGAAACGGATCTTACAGAACACAGCTGAGATCTTCTGGCGCCAGAGAACAAAGGAAATCCYAGTTGCTGGCTCAAAGGAGGCTACCTGGGAATGATTTTTTTTGCTTTCCAGGAGGCTCCCTCTGTGTGTGTGGGTAGATGATTTCAGGAATAAAAAATAGCAGCGACCTTAGTTTGAGGTTTTGCATCCCTACATTTGTGTGCGCTGCACGGATCTCTGGGCAAATACTCCTTCTTCCCCAGCCAGTCTTGTCCTCGATGCCAAAACCAAACCCCTTTTCCTGCTGGTGTCCACGTGCCAGCGCAGAGCAGAGCTAAACTGCTTGGCAGCCATGGAGCAGGCTGGAAATGTAATCAGGCCCTGGCTTTCCTCCTGAGATGCAGGAAGCTGTGGGATGGGAGATTTTTGTGAATGACAAAATCCCTGAACCTTTCCAAAGCTGGATTGGAAAGGGGACCTTGCTGATAGTCTGCCAGCCTGCAGCTGGATGGAGCCCTGGCCTGTGTGATTCCCTCCAGTGTCCCTTCCAATGTCTTCCTTCTGGGCTGGCTTCCTGCTTTTTTTTTTTTATTTTATTTTTTCCAAATTCTGAAGGCATTTGCATGATTCCAAACTGGCTGTTTTTAGGGTGAGAGAGGTGCAGAGCTAATCAGGGCCTTTCCAGGGAGGTGGCTTCATTCAGCAGCAGAAATGAAGTCCTCGGCTCTGAGCCTGATGCAGGCAGGAGCCTCTGCTCTGCCCAACATCCTTTCAGATTCCTCATTCTTCAGTCCTCMATCCCATCCCATCCCACCTCAGGCAGCTCTGGAGGTCTTGGGGTTTGTGTCGAGAAAGGCCCTTGGTGTGAGGAGATGCCTGGTGCAAAGTGCTTGCCTGAGGTGGCTTGGCAAAGATCTTTCTAAATGACGATATARCACTTATTTTTCCTTTGGTTTGTGGACTTTTTTGTGTGTATAGCTCATACAATGCTAACCTGAAGCCCATAGGCCAGTTTATGGTCAGAAATGGTGTGCATGCTTTATTGTATTTTTAAAAAATCCTCAATTTCTGTATCTTTGGCTGCTTCCTGCAAGTGTGTTAATTTGCTGAGTAGGCCTCAGAAGGAAGTATTTTGGGCTCTGTGTCTCCTTATTTATATAATATATATAGATAAATGGGCTGACCCAATTCAAAAACGGTTTGTGAGGGAAAAGCCTTTTCATTTTGCATCCCAGTTTGCTTTGGACACTTGAGGTGGGCACATGTGTGGGGATGAGACCTGGTTTCAGCCTGTCTTCTTCCTCAGATCGAGCTGGCCATTCTTCGCTTCCCGTACGAGTCCTGGGGGACCCCCTTCCAGCAGCTCAAGCAGGTGGTGGAGGAGCCTTCCCCCCAGCTGCCTGCYGATCGCTTCTCCAAGGAGTTCGTGGACTTCACGGCACAGTGGTGAGTCTTCAGCAGCAACTAGATGCTTCTCCCAGCTTGGCTGGGCTGGAGTCCTGATCCACGGGAGTAAATTGGAGTAAAGCACAGGACTGGGTTTGTCATCATTTCAGAGGCTGTTTCTGCCCATCTCCCCATGCTGAGCTGGCATTTGGCCACAGCAGGAAGTGCTGCCCAGACTGGTTTTGCTCTCAGCCTGACTCATTCAAGCTGGTTGCAAAGCGAAGAGGTTTCTCTTCCCTTTCTGCTGTTAATGCTGCTGAAAATTTTGGTGGTTTCTGGCAAAGTGGCAGTGAAACCAGAACAAACCCCTGGCCAGTGTCTGGGTGCCTCTGGCTAAATCTGCTTTGTGGGGACTGTGCAGCAGCCAATGAGCTGCTGCCATCGGGGTGCAGCTCTGTGGCCTCGATGCCACTTGCTTCAAGCTGCTGCARAGAGGTGAGCCCGGTGAGATGGGTCTCCAACAAACCCTGGTGTCTCCCCACCCACTGTCATGGCAAAATACCCCAAGTTGTGTTTTCCAGTTACCTGCCTGGCAGTTTTGCAGGGTCCCGTGGTTCAAATCTGCATGGSCAAGCAGGGAGAGGAATGGGAGCTGCCCAGGAGAGAGGGCAACGTTGCTTGGGAAAGGGGGGTTCCTTTGTGATAGACTGCACAGGGAAAAAAAGAACCCACAGGCCATTTCTCCCAATTTTCTCTTGCAGCTTAAGGAAGAACCCTGCTGAGAGAATGAACTATTTAGAACTTATGGTAAGTGCCGAGTCAGTTCCTCTGGTGCTTTAGTCTTGCAACGTGTATTAAAAGTGAAATGAAGGGCCCAGTAGGTCCCTAAAAGTGGGACAACAGGAGATAGGGGGAACTTAGCCTTGGAGGTACATAGCAGGGTGGTCGTAGCATGTCTAGGCTGGCGGGATGTGGAAAGGTTTGGCAGGTTGGAACTTCTAGGGGTTTCTCCTTCTGTCATCTACTTTTGGTGGGTTTAGAGTAAAAGCCTCAAGTGACGGTGGAACAGCTGCCATGKTTGGTCATCCATCTGGGTTTAAACCTAGAAACATGAGATGTGAATGCATTAGCCTTTGAGCTAAAGGCTGGCATCTATGGGAGCTTTGGGATCCACCAGGAACTTGTGCTCTTGTGCTCAACCAGCTGGGACAACGAGCTCTTGTGCTCGTGTTAACTTGGGCAGGAATTGATGCCATCTCGGTTCTTGTTGGCAGGAACATCCCTTCTTTACCTTGCACGACACCAAAGAGACTGACATGGCCTCCTTCGTGACAGAGATCCTCGGGGAAGACTCCTAACTCTCCGACCTCGCGGCTGCGCACGGTCCCCTTCACCCAGCACCCCGACTTCTCTGCAGAAGAGCAAATGAGGACTCGAGCTAACAGTGGTTTGCACAGATCGCATTTCCCCAGCCCGTTGGCATCTCCGGGCCTTGCCGTTTCTTTTTAATTTGCCCCAAACAACCCCCCACCCCAGGAGGAGCCTTTTGAAGCTGACACGCACTCAACTAAGCTGCCGAGACCCGCGGGCTCAGGAGCTCCCCGGATGACACCCGGCAAACGCCGTGCGCGGCGCGAGGAGAGGCCCGTGGTACCCGAACTGAGGCCAGGAGGCTGGACTGGGGCAAAGGATGTGAAAGGGCCTCTTCCTTCCCCAAGAACCTGCGCACAGCGTGGGGGATTCCTGCGTGTATTCCCCTTTGCTGCCTGGGGATGGCTGAGGGAGCAGTTTTTCCTCCTGCTCCCTTCCCCTTCTCCCTTGCCTGCAGGGAGCCCAAGGGCCACGTCCTAGAAAGCCCGGTCTCCTTTTGCTTTCCTCTGTGCCCAGCTCTGTGCCACCAGGATCCTGGCGAAGCTCTTAGGAGGCCCTGGGGCTGCCTGGCCACAGCTGTGTCCTCTTGGCACCTGCCACAAGGTCTCACGACCCTTCCAGGCAGCACCAGACCTGGTGCCCACCTCCCATTGCGCTCACCGAGCCAATGCACCAGTTGCATAGGGAGAAGGAAAAAAAAAAAGGCATTTTTAAATGAATCCAGCTTGCTTAAGCTTCACCCCACACTCCCCACAGCTCCTCATCCAGGGCACAGAGTCCCGGGCGCTGCCACCTKGCCCTGCCTGGATGCGTCTGCACTGCAGCCCCACGGCCGCTCCGGAGCGTGGGCATCACTCCCTGCCTTCGCCTTTCCCGCTCCAACCGGGAGGATGCTCCATCTCCCTTCCCACCGGGGGCTCCCGCAAGACCTCGCACTGTGCCACGCGCTCCTTCGGAGGCCACCCGGGTCCCACCGAGCTCCTCGGCACCACAAACCAGCACCTTGCACGGGGGCTGCTGACAGTTGTACATTTTGTGTCTATATATAAACAGACTTTGCAACGTGTTTTGATCTAACTTGCTATAAATTAAAGCCCTTCTGCATGGGGGGAAGGAGGAGCGATTCCTTCTCCGCCAACAAATCCACTGTGAAAACCTGATGTGTTTCCCCGCTCTCCCAGCCTGAGCGCTCCCCACRGAGCTGCGGGAGCAGAAGGGATCGCTGTCTTCTACTGTATATGATCACAGGATAAACGCACCGGCTGTGGATTTTGTGGGATTTTTTTGTTTGTTTGTTTTGTTTTTTTATTATTAGATTGAGTTTTCAGAGGGATTTTGTCTTTTTTTTTAATATATATTGGTGTGTGTGTCCGTGTGTGCGCATATATATATATATTATATATTTTTAAATCAGTGATGAATGTGTGAAAATATATGTGGCCAGCAAATTTGGTGAAAGGGCTAGCAACGTTCTGGCTTAGTTTGGGGAGGCTGGGAAGGAGTCACTAAAACATACCCTGACCAGAGACAATTTTTTTAAGAAAAAGAAGTACATCTATTTTTTAACTGAGACTTTAAAGAAAAAACTATTAAGTTTTTTTTTTCCTGGAATTCATGCCCTGAAGGTCTGGATTTGGGACTGCGTTTCCAGTGTCCAGGGTACCAGGCCCCACAAAGAGTGAAGCCCCCCCCCAAATTCGTGGTCCCCTCCTCTTGCAGTGCCCGAACCCAGGACCCGTCTGCTTGCGATGGAGGCTGCACACGATGGAGGCTGCTTTATGCCCCCCATTCCCGCAAGCTGCTCCCAGGAGAAGCTTGATTTTCAATCCTTAACATCCCCTGGGAATGCCAGGGAAGCGCGTGGCATCCCTAGCAAGCACTTGCACACGTTTCCCAACGCAGACGAGCCCCAAACACTGTCTGCAATGGCCAAATCCGGTGAAATTCRGGGTGCCCCTGGTCCCACCACCCCTTAGTGCAGCAATTTGTGTCGTCACTTCTTGGTCCGGCTGCAAAGCTCTGGGTGCTGCCGAGGCCGCACAGGATGGGTTGGGATGGAGCTTTGCAGCCCACATGTACAACTCTGGGATCTATTCCGGCTGGTTACTTTGGATTAGTTTTGTCTCCTTGCAGAGCTGTTGTATCCCGCTTTCCTATCTCCCCCCGTCCTGTTTTTTTGGCTGCATTTCATCTCCTGGAGCAAGACCCAGCTCCTGCATGTTGGGAAAAGGCGCCTTCCCGACGCTGGGTACTGGGAGATGCAGCTCGGTGGGCTTGGGCCCCCCTCTCCCGGCAGCTCCATGCAGCCCCGTCTGTCCAGGCTCTTCCCTGCCCTTCTCCCATCCGGCACTTTCGGCTCCTCTCCATGCTCTAATTGCAGGGGGACTGGAGAACGGGTAGGATCCCAGTTCACCTTCAAGGTGCAGAAGGATTTCGAGGCGGGTGGGAAGCCCCTCTAGCATTGTATTTTTGAGAACATTCTGTACCCGTTATACCCTGTCCTCGTTTTCAATAAAATTAGCCCTCAAATGAGCTGCTCGTCGCCTCTTCTGTGCCTGGGGGGGGTTGTCCAAGGTCCTCTCTTGGCCAGCGATTCCCGCAACACGAGTGCTGCATCCCTGGCACCAGCCCCGTCCTGCAGCCGCGATGTCCCCACAGGCTGCATTGCTGGTCACCCTTCCCTGTCCTCCTTCTCCAGGCCCAGCTTCTCTCCTCCTTCTCCAGGCCCTTCTCCTGGGTGGAAAGCAGGAGCTCCTGGAATCGCTGCGGTGCCGGAGCCGCTCCGTGCAGGAGCGAGCGGAGCTGGGCCCCGCAGCCGCGCGGTGCCGCAGTGTCGCCCGCCACGAGATGGAAGCATCGGCCAGCGCCAGCGCCGGCATTCCTGGCGGGAAGGACGTTTTGCCCAACACCCCAACCCCGCTGCACCCCGGCAGACGGGACTGGGGATCGGGGCTGGGCCGGCGCTGGGAGCTGCCGCGGCTCCGTTCCAATTACCAGGGAAATAGCTCCATCAAGACGCATTAAAAATGCAGCAGCGCCTCCGAGGAGAGAACTTGAGCAGAGGCAGAAAATTCATCACTCGGCGCAACCTTATTAGGAGAAAGCTTTTTTCCCCCCTTTTTCTCCTAATTTGTCTCACAGGCAGGTGAAAAGAGGCTCTTGTTGGTGCCCGATGAGTTCACAGGCCCTGCTTACACCGCCCAGACCCCGCTGCACGATCTGGATTGTGCTGCAGAGAACGGCAAACTCGGTGCACCCAATTCAGGTGCAGGACTGGGTGGTCTGGGCGCTTCTCTGTTGTCCTGGGCTGGCCTGGCAGGGCTGGGGCTGCAGCACTGGGCATCACCAGCCGCTGGACGGGAGCCATTCGGATGCAGGGATGAGTCCAGTCGCCAGCTCTGCTTTTCTGCCAGGCCCAGGGCAGCAAAATGCTCCTTTTTTTTTTTTTTTTTTTTTTTTTCCTCATGTGCACATGGCAGATTTCACAATTTCTCACCCCAAATGCAAGCCCAGAGTTGGCACCGCGGCCGCTTGGCTCCCCGGGGGTCCCCACACGCTGAAACTTCGACCGGCAGCATCACCTCCCTGCGTCCCGCGCCGGCCCTTCCTCCGTGCTTTAATTAAACCTTTGGGGAAAATCTTCCCCTCCATCCCCCATCCCCCCAAATCTCATTAATTAAAATCCTCGATCTGGGCCAGCAGCTGGTGCCTCTTTTTTATCTCCTTCGGCTCCTTGGGAGCAGATGAGCGGCCCCAACGAGGTGCCCAGCAGGACCCAAGTGGCCGCAATGGCCCCCCGGCCACCGGGGACCCTCTGCCCACCCCTGCTCTGCCGCTGCTTTACTGTTTCTTCCAGAAATAGCCCCAAGAGGTGACTTTCCTCGCTCACCGCCTGCCTGGGCTTGGTGCTTCTGCAGCGATCCATCACCGATGCAACAGGGAWACGTCAGGAGCAATTAGTGAGCCGACGGCGTTAACTTTATCAGAGACAATGCGTCTTTTTTAATGAAACTCGTGGCAAAAAAAAGGCAACAAAAAAAATGCTGACAACAGATGTATTATTTCACCTCCAATTTACCAGCGGGTGTATTTTTCGTTCATGGGAACAGCTGATACGCATATTTATTTGGTGCAGCGCGTGTGCAGCCCCTGATGGATCAGCTCTTGGGAGAGAGGGATCTTGCCGAGCAACCTTCGGGCAAAGCAGTCCCAAAAGCAAGCCCCAAATTTTAGCTCCAGACAAGCTAAAAGGATGGTCATCTTTTTTCCTTTCCATAAATGCATGCTCTTCAGGACATTTTGGCCTAGGAAACATTTCCATGACCTGCTTGGCTGGTGGCTCTGCCACCCGTTGGTGGTTGAGGGTGGTTGAGCGGACTTCAGTCCTCTCCTTGGTGGGAACCAGGTGGACTCCTCTCCACCATGYCTGGAAGAATAAACCCAGCAAGGAATGACCGGCTCAGCAACAGAGTGGGGCTGGTTTTATGCTCATGTTGTGGCTGTGTCCACATTCCTTCTTCATTCCTTCTTTGGAAGCCCCTTTGGGGTTACCAGATCTCCAAACTGTCCCGTAGCCTCTTGAACATCACTGTCAAACCTGGGCATCCTTCATGGGCCAACTGAGCTTGGCTAGMAGCATACTGACATTTCTCTTCCTATATTCCTATTTTTGGGGAATCTTTCTCCCCTTCCCAAAGCCTGTTGGAGTTTCAACTCCTTGCACTGGTGAAAACAAACCCAAGGAAAATGTTTGTGATCTTTTTCCCTTTCATTAGGAATGGAAGACGGGAGTCGTCTCTCTTCTGGGTACGCTACAACCAGCATCAATTATTTAGGGCAAAGCGACTCTCTGACAAATAATTTTATTTTAATGTGGGAAGATTAAATCTGATTTTTTTTTTAACATCATAACAAAAGCAATTTCTCACTCGCAAGTCCTCACATTACACAGAGTAAAGAGAGCCCAGGCATCCATCCCTGTATTGATCAGCAAATAGGTCCTTATATAGACCGAGTTCACCTAACCTTGTTTAATTTTGGATTCATTGATTCAATGCAAAGATCTAGATGAAAAGCAAGTGGGCTGTTTCCAGCGCTGGTGATGCTATTTTTAAATAAATCTAGTGCATGCTAAAATAAATATGCAAAGCATTTTGTAAGTCCATATATGGGTGGGGAAGAGGAGACCAGATGTACTAAAATATTTAACTTTTCTCTGGATTTCTGGAAACACATGTTTTATTTAGTCAGCAGCGGGGAAATCTGATCGATTGCAATGTTCGGTGTGCGGGGCGGTCCTGTGTCCCCCGCCTGGCTCAGGACCCTGGGACCACCGTCTGTGCAGCGACATCGTTGCCACATTGAAATGCAAAGCTCATTAACCGTGTCTGGGATTTATTTTTCGTCTGTTTGTTTGCTGCCTTTTTGTCTGGGCGCTCGTTAGGAGTGCAGGAGATGAAGCCTCCATCTAGCATTCCCTTTCATCTCCGGCTGTGTTTTTTCTCCATTGCTCAAGCGGCAAAGTTCCTCCTTCCTTCAAAACGTTGTTTGATTGCACAGGAGGAGACGGGGCCAAGAGCATCCCCAGGGGGGCCCAGCATCCCTGTGTCTGGCCGGGATCTGCCGGGACAGGAAGGTGCTCTCCGTGTTGTCACCTATTTCAATCCCTTCCCTGCACCTCAATGTCCTGCCGGAGGTGAACGTGTCCCCAAATCCCCCAGATTTCAGTGTGGTTAAACTTAATCTGCCCATGCCACCTCCAGCAGAGACACAAGGTGTCTTCCTGCCCAGGTGGAAGAAGTTAAGACCATCTCCTTTATTTTTTTTTTAATCTTTGCATGGAACATCCATCATTTTATATCATTAGCCGTAGGTTATTCCGTGCAGAGTGACGTATTTGCCACAAATGTGATGAGGGAGAGGTGCAGGTGAGGCATGAAGCAGGGTGCTGAGAAGGTGGCAGAGGAGGAAGCAGGGAGGGATGGCAGGGCTGGGGCCAGGCTTGGCATGGGGAACCCACAACTGGGAACCTGGGGATGCAGAAACGTGGGGCAGAGGCTGGGCAGGCTGGTTCTGGAGGTAACTGGGAGAACAAAAATATATCAGTTAACGTGTTCAAGTGTTTAGGAAACTCACACATCACATGGAGCTGCAGAGAAATGACAAGAAAAGCAAGATAACAAACATCTAAATGTGTCCCCAAGTGAGCCCAGAGTGAGGAAGATCATCCCCAAGGTGACCATCACCTTCTTACTTACGACGGGCTCTGCTTCACCTGAGTC